GGCAGCGCGGGGAGGAGGGGGGGGGGGGCGCCGCAGGGCCACGGGGAGGGCGCCGGCCGAGCAGTGACTTTCTTGCCGGGTTTATTTCTGGCGACGCTTCTTCTTCCTCCGCCTTGTCCTAACCTCCCCCCCCCCCCTATTTGTGTTCGCCTCTCTCTCAGCCAACCCTTCCATGTCGGCCAGGACCGGCTCCGGTCGCCCCGGCTAGCCGCTGGGCGTGCGGTTGTCCGGGTGGAACATAAGTCCGGTCCGCGGTGGCGGGGTGAGGGCGGGCGGGGGCGGGAGAGGGGCGAGGCGACGCACTGGCGATCAGCTGATGGCGCGTTCGCTCGGCATACAGTACATCAGCCGGCGCTAGCTAAATATACAGTGACGCGGAGGAGGGGGCGTGTGGGAGGGGGAGGGTGAGCGAGCGGAGGCTAAAGCCGTACCTATGCCTCGGCCCCTGATACCTCCTCCAATATCGCATTTCACCGAGCCGCCGCCGTCGCCGCCGTCGCCACCGCCGCCGCTGCGGTGGGACGAGCGTCGACAACTTGACCCGGCTTTAAGGGTGCGGGTCATGGGGTCACGCGCTGCGGCGGCGACGAGCTTCCAAAGAGAAAAACCCCTCCTCAGAGCAGCGCCGGCGTCGCGAGCTGACACAGAGGAGGCCGGGGAGCGCGTGCGAGGATTCTAGAACCGCAGCCGGAACGATTACAGAGACGCCCATAGCAGCCCGTCGAGTACAGTGCAGCGGCCGCCGGGTTCACCCGGGGAAACACGGCCTGCGCGCTAGCCGCTGTTTACTACGCGACGTCGGGCAATTTCTACCGCCGCCAAAGAGCAATAGGCGCGGGGGCGGAGCGGGGGGCTGAGCGGGGGCGGAGCGGGGGCGAAGCAGAGATGGAGCGGGAGCGAATCAGGGATGGAGCGGGGGCGGAGCGGGGGCGGACCGGGCCGTAACGCCGCTCGTATGAACACTGGGGGCGGAGGGCGCAGGCGGCTTTATTTCAGGAGGGTTCATGACCTTTTGGAGGCGGTGATACATCACCCTCACGTCAGCGGGCCGCAGCCGCAGCTGCAGCGCCACTGAAACAACTGGTAGTAACATGGGAATATTTAATACCAAGACTCGCGTTGATTTTTTTTTTACACCGCACCTCGAAACAGAGCTCGTAATTCGGTTTTAGGGGTTTTAATCTGAACGGGGTTGGAAAGGATGATTTCAAAGTTGTTTTAATTTTATATTTTTAAAGAGTCCAAGTATACGTACAAACTGTTCAAACACATGCACATGTAATGACTCGTCGACATTACCGCCCAAAGTAATATTTTCACGTGAAGCCTAGGCAGTACTATGACTTTTTGCACGGCCGCTGCAGCGACGTCCGTCCCCGTCTACGACGCGGCAGCACGGAGTCCCTGGCGTGCGCTTCCTTGTACAGTCGCCATGGGGCCGCGGCGGCGCCGTGCACAGTAGAGCCGGCGCACTGTCGCTCCGCGCCCCGCCCCGCCACGCCCCGCCCCGCCACGCCCCGCCCCGCCACGGAGCGGCTGCAAGGCGTACAGCGCGTGCAGGCAGAGCTGGGGCCCAGCCCGGCCCGGCCCGGCCGCCCTGTCGCGGAGGTATTTGGAGCGGGGCGTGGCGGGCGTGGCGGGAGGACAACGTCCCCCGTGTGTCTGCCGGCGCGGCGCCTCCTCGGGACCCACCCGGCGCGCCCCCCCGCGAGTCGTGGGTGCTACGCAGTTTATTCCTAGCGCGGGCCGGGGCGGGGAGTGCCGGGGCGGGGCGCCCAAAGACAGGGCCCCGGTGGGGTGCTGCAGGTATACAACCCGCGCGAGGCGAGCCAGCCCGCCCGCGAGCACGGCTCGGCGGGACAGCGCGATGCAGCTGCGGACCGGGCTGCACCGGCACGCAATGACCTTCGTGCCCGCGCCGCCGCCGCGCCGGCAGCGCCTCGCGGGCCAGGCGGGGCCCAGCCAGGCAGGAGGGGCGCAGCGCAGCGCCGCGCCGGCGTGCCTGCTTGAAATAGCGCGCCATGCCTCGGGGCGCCGGCGGCAAGCGGAGGGTCCGCCGGGTCCGCCGCACCGAGCGCCGCACACCGTCGCGTCGCGTCCGGGCCCCGGCGAGGCGAAGCGAGGTGCCGCCGACCCGGCGGCGACTTGTCGTCGCCGAGGCTGTCGCCATGCGGCGGCGTCGCGGCGTCCCCGGGGAGGGCGTCGCGACGTCATGCGCCCGCAGCACGCGTTACCCTAGCCGGCGGCGCGGTGTAAGCGCGCCTCACCTCGGCCGCAGCCCGCTGGAGTGCGTGAGCGTCCCCGTGGGCCCCGGCTCGACACCGCCCCGGCCCACGCTGTCCGTCCGCCGCCCCGCCGCCTTTGCAGCATCAGCTGACCCGCGCCGCGCCGCGCCTGCTGTCGCTGGGCCTATGGTCCGCTCGCGGGGCGGGGCGGTACCGGATGTAGCCTGAGTCACCGCTCCCCGCCGCAGGAAGCGCCCCGGCGGCCCCGGCCCCCCCACTGGGCCCCAGCTCGGCCGATGAATGGCCGAGCGAATCAGCGACTGGATGAACGAACGAACGAATGAATGAATGGATGAACGAACGCACTCGGCGGCCGTGCAGGTGCGCGGGGCGCGCGCTGGGAGAGAGGGGCCCACGCCGCTCCGGCTGATCCCTCTCGCAGATACGCCCGTACGTGGGCCTGCTCCTGTGCCGGGATCAGCTGGGCCCGGGCGCGGATAGCCAGCCAGCGCCGGCCTGCAGCGCCGCGCGAGCCGAAACGCGAGCCAGATCCGGAAGCGCACGCCGGCCCGATCCGTTAACGCATAAGGTGGTTGAATAACCCCTCCACCCGCTGACATGGCTGCGCCGTGCGTCAGAGCTGCGACGACGCAGCTGTGAAGCGGGTTTGCCTTCACGCTCCATCCCTGAGGCCCCATGCTACGGCCCCTGCCTAGGGTAGGCTTACCCGCGACACGCGGTTGTCCACTCAGACGCGGTCCGTGACGATAGGCACACACGCCAGCAGGCAGTGACGACTGACAACCAGAGTGGGTGGGCGGAGTTCCCCAGCCACCTGGTTGCCTATGTCGCGGGAGCGCTTCGCGCCGTTTCCATCGACGAGGACGCGCGAGTTACGCCCCGCGGCCGGGGTAGGACCGTGACCCGCCGTCACCCACCACCCCGTTATCAAACGAGCACACACACACAAACACACATGTGTGTGCCTCACTGCGCTCATTCTCGTACGCCTACACGGCATCCCTCTCTTCTTCTTCTTTAAAGCGCATTTTTGTTTCATTTTTTTTGTTTTTTTTCAAGCGGCGAAAGCTCTCCTCCTCCTCCTCCTCCGTATGGCGCTGCTTATCATGACGTGCCACGCGGGAGGTACCAGTTGGGTACCAGCGGGACGGAAGAGGCGGTCGGGTCGGGCGGGAGGGGGCATGCTGCGAATGGGGAAGGGAGGGAGGGGGGCGCACTCCCGGACACGTGCCGCACACGTGGGGACCCGCCCGGGTCACTTCCTGGTGCTCGGCGTGGAGCTCGGCGCGGAGGGGCTTGACGGGGAGGAGGGCGCGGCGACAGCGTCTCCCCTCCGACAGATCAAGGACGCGGCGCAGCTCGGCCCGGCCTAATATGTGGGGCAAAGCGCAGTACGTAAACGTGCTATACTGCTACTTCTCAAGCCAGCAAAACAGCGAGTGCGACGCAAGCAGAACGAGGCAGTCCGTCCGCCCGTCTGGCCGTCCGGCCGCGCGCAGAGAGGCGCACAGGCAGGCGGGCCCCGCGGGCGTCGCAAAGCTCCACCAACGTCACACACTACGGCATTATTGTTTTCCACTTTGCTCGGTGGTGTTTTCGTGGAGGATATATCTCGGTAGAAACTATGCGACTCTGTTTGATCTCTCTCGGAAGATCTCTCGTGTTCGTTGTCGGTGACAATCGACAAGCGAGGTCACAGAGCATTTAGTCGAGAGGGCGGGAGAGGAACTGTGTTTGAGAGGAAGACATTGGACGGACTGTTTGTACCACAACACAAGAACCAATGCAAAAATCACTTTCGCAGGTCTTGGTTTAAAATTGCAAACAGGTCCACCAAATAAGCCCAGAGCATGCACCCGGTCCCAGGACCACATCCAGATTAATTCCTTGAAACCAGGCAACCAGGCGTTACTATCAGCATGACATCTCCACAGATATTAATTCGTCACACAGTACATTTCTATTGAAATGATATTTTTTAAGTACATGCAACAAAAATACACACAAAAACTAAGAAATGATTAGTATGCAATAACAATTGTTCAGTGAAAGTTTTGCACCAAACTAAGGGCTTCAAAGCCAAGATGAAGGTATGTACTTCAAACTGGTCAAGTCCATAGAGAATGCTGGTCAGGTAATATGACGCAAACGCATACGTACACGCACACAAAAACTAAACCAGAAGTGGGCGATTGCAATTCTGTAATTCAAAACTAGGCAATGAATAGAAAACAAGTGCTTAGAGAGTTAGTTGATATCTACTGACCAAACTTGTAATAATCAACTGCGATAATAAAGATATGGTAATTGGAATTCAACCCATTTATTAGGTGCGAATGAAACCATCATTTAGCAGTACTAGTGGAAAAGGAAATATTACAATATTACTATAACTTGATAAAATTACTTTACAAGGCAATCAAAGGTGAAATCTTGATATACTCGTGACTAACATGATTGAAATGAAAAACAATTGCAGGGTGGTTCTGTATCAATTAAGTGATGTTGTTAAAATTTAACAGTTCACTTTAAAGGTAAACACAGGAATTTTCATTTAGTAGGAAAGGTGCAAAGCGTGGTCATGAATCCGACATGAATCTGTCACGGTATCGCCCACTGACATTTCTCCAGCAAGGTCCACGAGTTGCATGCACCTGACGCCCAACCTGTACAGCAGTGACAGGACACCTCCTCCGCATGGTAAACAGGCAGCATGCACTAGAAATACACACATCAGCTGACTGGAGGCCTCACCTTTGGTCTTCTGCTTCTCCATGAGCATGAGCTGCTCATGTTTGTGGTGCCAGGACGAGGGGGGCGCGGACACTCCGCCCGACACGGCGTTCCCTCCCGCCGGCTCGCCGCGCTGCTTCATCGGGTGCGGGACCATCGCCGCAGCCACAGAAGTGCAGTCCATTGCGATGGACGAGCGACTCGACACGTCGGAACTCAACAGCACCATCGAGTCACCCACACAGCCTAACCTCAACACGGAGCAGCATCCACCACTGCTCCTTGCACTTCACTCGCGTTTCAGAATCGAGGAGCTCTCCAACTGGGCCGCGGACACTGGCCACAACGTGGAAGGTCGATCCAGGAAAACACTGGGGAACACTTTAGCACTGTATCCGACACGGCGAGGACGAAGACGAGGATTCACACGGCTCGGCACATCCACAATAACAACAACCAGGTATCCATGTAAACACCAGCACCAGCACCAATCATTACACGGAAAACAAGGCTTTTTCCGCCACTGACATCCTCCGATAACCTCTTAAGTCGATTTTCACAATAAGTTGTCACCATATACACTTGAAAATAGAGTTCTTGCGTTTAGAAAACTTTAGATAGAGGTTTGGAATTTTTCGTAGCCTGTACGGCACTGTTTTGGTCACGTGAAATAACTTTGAGTCGGAGTATTGACACTTCATTGTGCACTGAATTTAATTTCCAAGTCGGTTCATACTGTTGACACTTCACACACACTCGGGAATACGGATAACAAGCAAATACGACGTTTTTGTCTCGACCCCAGCAATAATCCGATCAAAACATGGCAGACGCAGCAACGGAACTGAACTGGCGTGGTTTGCAACGGCCGCCTCAGTGGCGCCCTCCCGCGGTCTATGAGAAAGACTCTCTACAAGCCAAATTTCGGCCGGGGCACCTTTCAATGACGTTGGCAATAAAAGGCTTGAATGGCCACAAATGTGTTCAAATATCGTTTACCCACTTGCGTAGATGACACCCTTTACTTAATAACCATTGCTTCCCCCATGATATGTGTTCCTGAATACAAATGAAAACAACCTCCATAACTTGAGGCGATTGGCTTATTCCATCGTGTGACGTCACTCGTGCGGCCTGTAGGCCAATGGCTACGCAGTTTACAACGGACATGACCGTTCGTTCGCCCCATGACTCGAAAGTCGGGTCCCGCTATTGGTCGATGGAAAGCAGAACATATCCGAGCGGTTGCTATGCAAGCAAAGGGTAGAGATAGAGAGAGGAGGAGAGGGATAGCGCCTCCTGTGGACGGTATTGCGCCAAAATGCAATAAGAAAATCCGTATTCTTTCCATATGTAGGGAACATCCCTTTGACAAAAGACACTTCTAACAACCCAGTTATCTCATGAGATCTCGTTGTATCACATACTGTTACAGTTTTACCTGACCACACCTACAGAATTTTTGACTTCCTCAGAGTCAAGCCCAAGATGAAAGTAATTTTCAAAATTTTGTGGAAGGAAAATTAATGACACATTTTTCACACATTTCTTCAAAATTCAAGTCTAGTCTCTGCAAAATAATTTTATTTTCAAAGACATTCAATAAACTTTGAGTAAGGTCCACATTTCTGTTGTAATTACATCTTTAATATTTACAAGGAATTGTCCAAAATGGGCACATTGCACCCACAATAGACCTATAGTTTATACAATAACTGCCATGAGACGGCATAAGGCAAAGAAATAAAAAAACAAAACAAAAAAACACACTTGTCAGGACAGTAAAAGTAGCATTTTGGTAAATTAAAATACCAAAATTTGAGTTGGAGCGTATCTTCATCTTCAGAAAAGTGCATACAGTTGGTCTATGATGTGCCACATCAAAAATTAATTGAGCAAAATTTGTGAGAGAGAGCAAGTGATGATAAATTGATCCATACAACAGACTACCATACTTATAAGTTTTTAGCACGTGACACGTAATGATTTGTTATCATTTCACACTATGATACAAATTGAAATTCAATTAATTGATTCACGAGCATAAGTAAGAAGGTAGCAGTTTGATAAAATTACACACTTATTTGCTGTCTTAGAAGTCAATAGAAACAGGCAAAATCAAGAAGGGTACCACAAACCGTGAAATTTACAATCCACAAGGGTGTCCAGAGCTGTCTGCTTCAGGACATAGAAACACTTAATGTTTTATAGATAG